CATCAAGCGGAAGCGGAAGTCGCGGGAGGCGCGAGAGGCTAGATCCAGTATCCGTTACTGTTGATCACCCGATACAAAGGGAAGAGCCGCAGGCTCCAATCCAATCCAATCCAACGGCGGCATTTGTTCGGATCAAAGGCCGGCTCCGCCGGTGCGCCGCTAGCAAAGACGACGAAGCTGAGCCATGCCGACGACGAATGGGCGAGCAACAGAACTGCGGGACGACTGCAACTGCGGAATTTATTGGGTTCAAAGGCGCGAAATAAGCAAGAACAATTTTTATTTGAATCATAACACCCGATATCCAAGTTGGGGACCAGATACCTTTGCTGGGTCTTTCCTGTGAACTTTTTACAGAGACACGGGGTGCCGCATTCAAAACACAGCTCCGTTTGCAAAATATGGGGGCCCTGGAAAGGACCGTTTAGACCGCTACCAGAACCTATAACTGACGTAACGAGCACTTGACGAGCGGTTGGCGCATAAGTCGTCTTTATGCATGCAGGCGGGTGACGGGCTCAGCGCAGCGGATTCCTCGAAGTCAGCGGGGCCGTCAGAATCCTCGCCGTGTCTGCGTCGGGGCTCTAGATTTTGGCGGCCGCGGCGACGAACGACTGGAATCTATCAGTGTTTCCGCGCGCCTTGTCTCTCCTCCAAAACATGAACTTTGCAAGGTGACCAGTGAGATAGTGGCTCTCGCGCCGTCCAGATGGAAGAGAGTTTTTGACGAGGGCCCAGGTGCAATCCACCGTATTGGTGTGCGCACCAGTGTTCGCGTCGACAAAGTTGCTTGACGGTGAGGTGCGTGAAGCGAGCGTCATCTGCAAGCTTGCGATAGTCAGCCCAACAATCAGTGATTATTCTTGTTTCAGGGCCTACCCACTCGGCTATTAGCCCTTGCAGGGTTTTAGCGTCACTGGTCTCCACGGGAACAAAAAAGCAGCACCCGCTGCAACGCGCCACACCGCCGAAAACCCACTGGCCAGGCCTTAAATACCCGCGATGGTACTTGTGCCGACCGAACATACTCTCGTCTAGTTCTACAGTCACGCCTTCGCCACCAATCATGTCTGAATGCTTAAAGACGGCATTTACCTCAACCTACCGACAAAGGCTCGCCCAATCAGTTATTGTCTTACTTGCGATATCAGCCTCCCGCTGAATGACGGCGCACGGTAGGTTCTGGCATCCGGAGGATGATTTTTATGAGTTGGAGAAGCGTCAGGTGCGTGCGATCCTTCGAAAAGGGAACCGCTCCGTAGCGAGACATCGCCCTGGCACTGAACTTTGACACCGGCTTCCTCTTGGCCACCTCGCAAATCATCCACACACCAACCCCCCCCCCCCCCCCCCCCCCCCCCCCCCTGTAGCCATCCGCAGATCTAGCGCGGACTTGCAGCTTGTCATCGCAGCTTCGCACTCTGGACACGCACGAAAACCCAGAAGCCAGGAGCAGGCCAACGCGCTAAAGCAAATTAATTGCTTCAAGAGGGTCTTTCATGGCGCCAAGAAGACGGCACAAGTTGAACGCCATGGCACTGCGATGCTCGCCTCCGGAAGAATAAAACCAATAAAGCGCCCAGGGGGAACTGCGCGCTTCTTTGCATTTCTTATATTTATTTCATCCGCCATTTTATACCTCGTGACACAATTCTAACAAACTCATTGGTTGATCGGTCGGACCACACCATCGCGTGACAAAAAAAACAAAAAACAAAAAAAAAAGTTAAACGTATGTTTACGGACGGCATCGTCACAAAGAAGGGCGCAGTCGAACCCAACAACAAAATGAAGTAACAAAGTGAATAAAACTTAAAAAAAAAAAAAATAAGAAGGGAGCCGTTGGAGTTTCGGACGGCGTCTTCTTTGATGAGAGGAGCTGCTCTTGCTGCTCGGAATATTCCTTTTTGTTCTTTTTCTTACTCTACAGGGTTCCACGACCCTTATTTGAAGCTGATTTGTTAAATTAATAACAAACAACGCGTTGGAACGGAGGAGGTAGAGAGTCGTGGCGTCAGAATTTGACGTCGCAGAAAAGAAAAGAAAATAACGAATGCACAATCCATACCGTATGCCAAGACCGTTTTACTCCGCACTTGGCGAGGCCTTATGACGCAGCCGACGACCGTTAGGCTATTTATTTTGTTTCTTTAAATTTTTTATCGTGACGACTACTCCACTGTGCCTTGGAGTCTCTAGCGGAGATCCGGCAGTTTTTAATAATTATTATTATTGTCGTTTGAAGGGCACTCTTCGTATGCTGCTTCGTTCCTGACGCCATAAAAATATGGGGCGGGATTACTTTGCACCACGTATAAAAAAAATTTAAAAAGTTTAGTGCATGGTCGGATTGGTTTGTGGATACAATTAGTCCAATAAAATTAGTCCAATAATTGAAAAGTACGATTATTTAGCTTCATTATTAGCATCTTTTGTGTGCATGCGTGAAATACAGCACCCAACGAGAAGACACTAGAACAACGCTGCAACTGCTGGACCATAGACCACTTTTGAGAAAATGCGCCGCAAGACAGGGATATATACAGTATACAAGAAGTAGACTATTTAATGTCACCAAAATCCTGGGCGGGGAACTCTTGGCGGTATCAGTGTATCGTTTTGAAAGCGATACAAAAACACGTCGGGGACGCAGGAATTGTGGACCAACTTTGAGTGCGTGCGCGTCTGATCTGTGTGTATCAGTGTTGCGGAATGGGCACCCCCATTCCATTCCCATTCCATTCCGGGGAATTAGAGTTTTCGATAATTCCATTCCTTTCAACTCCTAGGAATGGGAACACTGGGCCCATTCCCACTCCTGGAATGGCTGAATCGTTCCATTCCATTCCTCTAATTCCTAAACGTAAAAACTGGCACTTGACAGCTACATTGTGTTGCCGACATGAGCAGCGTACTGCTGGCATTATCAAACGCATAAACAATTGAAAAAAAAAAAACACAAAACGTAATTACCTTAAAAGCGCTGGTGGCACAAAGTGTTTGTTTACATTATACTGCGAACATCGAAAAAGCCCCTTGATATGTCGATGCTTGTTTAAAGCGCCGCTCACACATATGCAACTGAGTAAGACCGCGAGAGACCGGATGCGCTGCAGCGCAGCTGGTCCTAAGACTTCAGAAGAGGCTTAAAACCGGTCTGGTCTCTCTCGGTCGTACTCGGTCGCAAGAGTGTGAACGGACCTTTAGACATCGGTCTCGCGACCAATTGGCTCGCAACAAACAGCAATACTTAAATCCACTATTCATCTTTTTTTTTTTTTGCATTTGATTTTTAGGATATGTCTGGCCAGCGTGTTTGTTTGATAAGACCATACAAATATCCAGTTCGTGCGTCGCGCCAAAAATAAGCTATATTACTCTATTCTTCAAATACGTGCACAGCAACACGGCTAGTACGCTGCTCGAAGCGACTCCATGCACAGCGGCAAGATCACATCCTCTGACAAAGTGCATCCTCTATAGCGCAGCACGAAAGACCGTATTGGCCATGTCACGCAACCTGTTTTAAAACACACAAGTTCACGCTTGCTTTACGAATCTCGATATTTCCTATCATATTCAATTCAATTCTTTAACTGTTTTTCAGGCATTCAATATAAAAAACGTGTGCTGGGCTCAAATATATGTTTGTTCATTGTGGTTCGTTCATTATATGGACGTTATTGGTTTATTAGTTGTCATTTGTTGATCATCTTGATCATTATTCGGACATGAGCTAACACACTTTTCTGCGTACGCGTCCGAGGTATTGCAAGGTCATTCAAGGTGCATTCCGCGAGCTCTCAGTTGCCGGTGTTTCGCGGTGACCGAAGTACCTAGCTTTAACGCGAATGGGGTTGTATGTACCGGGTGATGTCGTAAGGACCATTTGGTACGCCTTGCAAAATTCGAATTCCAATAGAACATACCTCAAACTGGGTGCGCGAACGCAGTTTCACAAAATGCTTTATTTTTTTTTTTTAAGAGAGCGTGAGAGAGAGAGATCTTATAGGTGGTGAAGTGGTTAAAAACAGGGCAAAAACGGCGGCCTCGCATTTTCTTTGCCCTCTAATGGATCTTCGTCGTTTGCACACTGCTTCGCGAGCTTGCTTTCAGGTGGCCATCGTTTATATATCTCGTCAAATTATTACGTTCCGCGGCTTTTTGCTCCTTGCAACCTCTACTTAAGCGTTCTTAGCGCTTATGCGCTGAGCAAGTTACCCGGAAGCGAGCCTGCAAACCAGTGGGGAATCAATGAAGAGGCTGATACAGGACATAGAAAATACACGGCCGCCGTATTTACTTCTTTCTTTTTTTTTATATTTCACCATCTCCGTGTTGAGCTCTAAAAAGATTTGGCATAAAACTTCTTGCGAAACGGCCTTCGCGTGGCCAGTTTTAGGTACGTACTTACGTTTGGAATTCGAATTTTGCAAGGCGTGCAAATGTGCCGATCCTTACGGCTTCACCGCAGCAGAATACTGCAACACTAATAGATCGAGCTCATTAAGCGTCCCTCGCATCCGATGCACTGCTTTGACCTTACTCCAGAGAAGGCAGGGGACAGTGCACGAATTACGCCCTGTCCTGCTCTGCCATCGCAGACCAGCAGCAGGGTTGTCGTCGTACATACAGAAAGACTGAACTTTCTTGATGCATCGCGGCAGTGGTGCCGTAGCAAAACTGGCTGGTGAGATCAGTCTATTGAAGCGAGCGCTGTGCAAGGTTTATGATGACGGCATTCCTCACAACGCATGGCGTGACAAAACCCTTATATGAGTGCAGACCCGTTAAAACAAATAAATAAATAAAGCCAAACAGTCTTCTTGCACGAACGAGGAAACTATGCGTAAGTAGCTTAGAGGCAGCTGAACAAAATCTGCCAAGAAAACTTTATTTTGTTCTCCTTCACAATTAAACGATAAACGAATTTCAAAGCTGCTAGCCGATTCGTTATAAAACACCAAGTCTACGATTCACGCCGTGTAATCCCTACCGAACTATACGTTCCTCTTCATAAACATCAGTTGTTCGAACGAGGTACTAGACAGCCGGTTTCGCTTCGCTGTCATTATGAGCGACGCCGTCGAAAATACGCGTTCTACGTCAGCTGACGTAGCATTCACTGAAAACACTGCTCTTGCAACCCGTGCGAGCAGGGGAAAACGGGCAGCGTTGGCTTTCCAAAACTTAAGAGGTGTAATCGCGTCTCCACAAGTGCCTTCTGCAAGGTAGAGTGAAACCTCTCCTCCAATAGACCCGGGCTGATTCGCTTAGTGGGTATTTTCACTTTGCCTGATGCTCTTGAACATCAGTTTGCCTGAACGCACCTCGGGGTCTACAGTCGGGACGCTGCTAGTGCTGCCATGACCTAGCAAGAGGGGCCCCCTTCCAAGCACAGCAGAATGCATCTCCTCAGCGGTTGCGGCTGGGCACCAAGACGACTTGAATCTTGGGTCTAGGAGTGTAGCCATTAAAAAAATCGAGTCACTCCACGCGCCGGCGAAGCGCTTCTGAATGCTTGCTTTTAAGCCATTAGCCATATCTCTACAAAGAAATGTGGCTTTGCTGAGGATTCCAGCGATGGAAACGTCAATGTTTCTCAATGCTGGAAGCAGCAGTCCGGCCGTTTCATGCCTCTTCTGGAGGAGTTCAGATGCCTCCTCTACTGGTGAAAGCAGCTCTATCAAGTCCGTGATGAGCCTGAGTTCGTACGTTGAGAGTTTTGTTTTCTTGCACGCGTGCAACGTGTCGGCAAGTTCTGAGTGATCGGCAAAAGTGCTAGCGAGCTTTCTCATCATTCCCAGCTGCGAGTTCCACCTCGTTGTGTTGTGGGCTTCTAGGTGCACGCCGCCACATTCATCACAGTTTCTGTGTCGGCAGTACTCTTACGTATTGAAGCTACGATGGTGCCGTATTTCTGTATTACTTCCTCAGCTTTTGAATCCTAAAATCGAGGGAAAAAAAGATTGAGAAAAAAATGACAAAGAGCAACACGCAATGCCTTACGTTCATGGTTTCAAGAAAACAATTTAAGATTATATATAACGATCGATAGTTTAGTGATCGACTTTACACTAAGTGTAGTTCAAAGGCGGACAACTAATTTCGATAGAGCCGGTCACAAAAAGCGTAACCACAAAAGATAATGTACAACCTACGTAAAAATAAATAAAGTCAGAGCGGTAGAATATAACATACCTGCCGGATAGAGTCCTTTACGGCAAGCTGCAGATTGTGGGCGGCGCAACCAAATCGGAATTGCTCCAGCTTATGAAATTCGCTTAAAAGCTCCTTGGCTAAGCTCTCCGGGCGCTCGCCGAGGATGTCAGCGTCTTCGTCTGCTTCCGTTCCCCAACCAGGAAAAGCAAAGGCCTTTATCATTGATGATGCATTATCTGTTACCACAAGAAGCACCTGAAAATTCAAATTGGTATTGTTAGTCAACACAAAATTGTAACAAAGATTTCATATTTTACCTTGTCTGATATGTTCCACTGGACAAGCGCTGCGTCATACTCAGAACGAATGCGAGCAGCTGTGTGGCTGCCCGTCAGTCGAGTGAAGGTAAGGAGGAATGTGTGAGCCGTAAAGTCATTGTCGACGAATGTGGCTTCGACTCCTAGGTAGCCTTCCATAGTCGGAGACGTCCACACGTCGAGAGAAATGCACACGTGCTCTGCTCCCGACAAAGAGGCCGATATTTTGCTTTGAAGAGCAGACACCTTCGAGGGTAGCAACTTCTCTCGCAGGTCGTCACGAGACGGCAACTTGTAGCCCAAAACAGCGACCTGAATTTGAACAAACACAAATCAATTACTCTCATGCAAGGTTACGAAGAACTATATGTAAAACTCACCGATACAAATTGCTTGAACCCTTCTCGTTCTACAATACGAAACGGCTCCATGTCAATGCATATCATATTGAATAGGGCTTCATCAAGCGCAGCTTTTCGGTGAGCCGGTACAGAGCTGCACCCAGCGCTGAAGGCGGAAGTTATTTTTGGCTGGTTCGCCTGCCCTTTTCCAACTTTCGCGTACTCGTTGTCGTGCTTCCTCTTCAGATGGCGAATAAAGTTCGATGATACGCCGACTGCACCGTGTATAGTTTCGCTGCACACCTTGCAGCGTGCAGCTTGTTTGTTTCCTTCCCGACTAATATCGAAAAATGTCTTCCACGATGCCATGACTCGATCTATTTTTTTCTTGTAATCTTCCTCTTCGCGCTGATCGAGCGGCGGGTTCACGCAGGAGACGGTACCAACCGAATCATTCTTTGGCCTCGGTGTCAGGTTGTTCGCGTTCTGGCGACGGGTGCACAGCCGGCGTCGATGGAAGCCAAAGCCTCAGTGGCAGCTAGCATCCAGCTCTCCTTTTCAGTGGCCCTCGCAACAACGGTCGCGCCTCGTCTTTCTTTCTGCAGGTCTAGTCAGTTCGGTCATGCAAAAAGAGCGCTGTCGATAGTCTACTTCGCCTTATGATGGACCACAAAAGATAGCACGAGTGCCATCGAAACCAGTCCAGTGCCTTCTGAGTGTCACGTGACCCTAGGGCGCAGCAACGCGCGCCGTGCGTGTACTGGCCCGCTCACGGTGCTGGATGGCTTGGGGTGACTTGTAGCGTCCGCAGCGGTCCATCGCAAGGTGAAAGGAAGTATGCAGAGACTAAAGTCAAAGGAAATTAGCGGGCATCGGCTAGCTTGCTTGTAACCCTAACCCACTTGAATGCAAAACATATAACAAAGAAAACAAGCATCGGAACAAGGACCAAGTAAAAGGCGGACTTGCACGTAAAATCACAGTACAAAAAAAAAAAAAAAAAAACAAGCGTCGGAGCCAAGCGCAAGAGGAGAAGGGAGAAGTGAACTTCGCTTGCTTTGTTTTAATGCCGAAGCAAACACACATTTCGCATTTCAAAGGAGTGCGCGCGAATGAACGTGGAAGGCGGCAGGGTTGGCCGCCGTTCGGCGGCGCGCGAGTCAACGAGTTAAAAGAGCTCTGCGAGTTATGAGTCGCCCCCGCTTTCACATCTCAGTCTGTGCGCGCGTGCCTTCTTCATGCCGTTGAAACAAAACAAAAAAAAAGTTACACAAGAAGGACGATGAGGAGCCATGGAGCCGCCGTGCCTGGCGGTTTCTTGCTTGGTCACTCCTTCGTTTCTTTTGCTTGTTGCTTGGTTTCTTGTTTCACTCTCGTGTAACGCCAGTGAAGCCCGTCTACGCCTCCGTGAAAGGCGCCACCGCCTTTCACCGAGCACTGCCGCAGAACGAGCAGCTCCTACCCACGACCGGCCTACCTCGGTGCCGTTCCTGGCTAGGCCGGAGCTTTTCGGCCGCGAGGTTCAGTTGGTGCGGTCGCGGTCGGCGAGGTTTGGCGAGACGAGAGCGATGGCATCCTCGGAGCGTTCGGAAGCGAACTCGCTCGCCAGGGATTGCGCACACACGACGCCTCTGGTCCAGAGTGGTCCAGAGTAGCCCGGCGGCCCGGCCCGGAGCCCAAAACGCTTGGGTTTTGATGTTTCTTCCGTCTCGTGCGAGACCACCGCTGCCACTGCTGCCACCGCGACCAATGCGACCACCGCTTGAAACTGTTGAAACCACCTCGAGTAACCGCGAGACTGGCCGCGAGAGCGGAAACGCCGTCATCTCACCGGAAATCGACCTATCCGAGCTCTCGCGTACCATCTCCGACGACGGAGCTCGCGGAGCGCGCTCCGCCACCGTGCACCGGAAGTGAGACGACGTCGTTTAGTTTAGCTCGAGTGGACTCTGACCGCTGGAGCGCGCTCGAGCGCGTTAACTTAACGCGCCCATTGGCTTTATTCTTCCAGAGGCGAGCATCGCAGTGCCATGGCGTTCAACTTGTGCCGTCTTCTTGGCGCCATGAAAGACCCTCTTGAAGCAATTAATTTGCTTTAGCGCGTTGGCCTGCTCCTGGCTTCTGGGTTTTCGTGCGTGTCCAGAGTGCGAAGCTGCGACGACAAGCTGCAAGTCCGCGCTAGATCTGAGGATGGCTACGCGGGGGAGGGGGGGGGGGGGGGGGGTTTGGTGTGTGGATGATTCGTGAGGTGGCCAAGAGGAAGCCGGTGTCAAAGTTCAGCGCCAGGGCGATGTCTCGCTACGGAGCGGTTCCCTTTTCGAAGGATCGCACGCACCTGACGCTTCTCCAACTCATAAAAATCATCCTCCGGATGCCAGAACCTACCGTGCGCCGTCATTCAGCGGGAGGCTGATATCGCAAGTAAGACAATAACTGATTGGGCGAGCCTTTCTCGGTAGGTTGTGGTAAATGCCGTCTTTAAGCATTCAGACATGATTGGTGGCGAAGGCGTGACTGTAGAACTAGACGAGAGTATGTTCGGTCGGCACAAGTACCATCGCGGGTATTTAAGGCCTGGCCAGTGGGTTTTCGGCGGTGTGGCGCGTTGCAGCGGGTGCTGCTTTTTTGTTCCCGTGGAGACTAGTGACGCTAAAACCCTGCAAGGGCTAATAGCCGAGTGGGTCCGCCCTGAAACAAGAATAATCACTGATTGTTGGGCTGACTATCGCAAGCTTGCAGATGACGCTCGCTTCACGCACCTCACCGTCAAGCAACTTTGTCGACGCGAACACTGGTGCGCACACCAATACGGTGGATTGCACCTGGGCCCACGTCAAAAACTCTCTTCCATCTGGACGGCGCGAGAGCCACTATCTCACTGGTCACCTTGCAAAGTTCATGTTTTGGAGGAGAGACAAGGCGCGCGGAAACACTGATAGATTCCAGTCGTTCGTCGCCGCGGCCGCCAAAATCTAGAGCCCCGACGCAGACACGGCGAGGATTCTGACGGCCCCGCTGACTTCGAGGGATCCGCTGCGCTGAGCCCGTCACCCGCCTGCATGCATAAAGACGACTTATGCGCCAACCGCTCGTCAAGTGCTCGTTACGTCAGTTATAGGTTCTGGTAGCGGTCTAAACGGTCCTTTCCAGGGCCCCCATATTTTGCAAACGGAGCTGTGTTTTGAATGCGGCACCCCGTGTCTCTGTAAAAAGTTCACAGGAAAGACCCAGCAAAGGTATCTGGTCCCCAACTTGGATATCGGGTGTTATGATTCAAATAAAAATTGTTCTTGCTTATTTCGCGCCTTTGAACCCAATAAATGCCGCAGTTGCAGTCGTCCCGCAGTTCTGTTGCTCGCCCATTCGTCGTCGGCATGGCTCAGCTTCGTCGTCTTTGCTAGCGGCGCACTGGCGGAGCCGGCCTTTGATCCGAACAAATGCCGCCGTTGCAGTCGTCCCGCGGTGTTGTTGCTTGCTCGATCGCCGTTGGCGTGTCTCAGCTTCGTCGTCTTTGCCAACGGCGCACCGGCGGAGGCGGTTGATCTGACACACCGCGTTCGGCTTTGGCTAGCAGACGGCGTTCGTAAAATGGCGTCAGCTGTTGCTGGCTTCACGCGGCGGTACCGTTCGTGCTTCTATTCGTTCGGCGTTCGTTGCCATGGTGACGGCGAGGAAAGCAGACGAACTTTTTGATTCGGAAGAACGCTGCGGCGCAGCGATACCAGGTGCGTTCTAAGGCCCTTCCCGCATGCTTTTCAATGGGCGGAAGGCGAACAAAAAGAGTTCGAAATAAGGACTTAACGCAGAAGGCTGCATTTCTCCAGCGCCTCATAATTTGACGAGCCTTTCACGAAAAGCATGTTCTTTTGGCCATCCCGCGTCCTGTTTTTTTTTTATCCGGAACATGGGTCTAAAGTATCACACTGCCGCTTCTTGTACCGCGGTGCAGCGGATTAGCTCATGCACTGCGGTTCCGGTTCCTGTGGTTGGGTGTGCATCAGCAGCACCATGGCGGACATGTGGGATGCTGAAATAGAAATGCGACAAATGCTCTTAGATACGCGATTAATGCATATGTGTGTTGACGGCTTAACGCCCAGAAGAGCCTTCTGGGTGCGCGAAATCTTTCGCCACCGAGATACCGACGGATATTCGGCGAACCTTGTTTATATGCTGAGGGACCGAGACACAGAGCTCTTTCGAAGGCGATTATTTTTAACCGCGTGTCTTTGAAATCAGGGTCACGCACTTCGAATAGAAAGCGATGAAGTCGTACCCAATGAATTATGGCGAATTCCACTGGGCGTTTTGGAGCGCGCCGGGATCAGTTGACCAGATCCGGATTGGAGCACACGATCCGAACGGGGTCGCGCTGCCTACGGATCCTCAGTGGAACATAACCACTGCTCCGGGATCGGTGGATGCCTTCCCGTCATTCAACTGCCCGGGAATCCCCTTTTCGCGGCCGCCGCGGTCGTTTCGAAGACGTTTTCGCAATCGCGGCGCTAACACGTGTTCGACGCACGAGTGGCAGGAATGGCTCAAGCGCTTCTAGCAACGTACGATTGCCGGAATGCCCGTAGCGCGGCAAATACCTTCTCTTCTCCTTCCTGGAAAACGAACCAGCTGTCGAGCCAATGGGTAAGCAAGCGGCCATTACGAATTCTTCTGATGTCGAGACAATCTAGGAGCCCAGCCCGCGACGTGCTTCTTCTTCTTCTGAGGCGAGATGGGCGAAATCACCGTAGGCGAAATCAGGCGAGATGCCCCACGAGAAAGGAAGTCACGTGTGTGCGCCGAGGGCTCCGAAATCGGTGGAGCGACTTTTCTCGTGGCCAATTCCACGGGTCGTTTTGGAGCGCGCCGGGGACGATTTTTCCGGAGCGAGCCTAATTCACGGGGCGATCGGGATCGAGACAAACTTGTTCCACTGGTCATTTTGGATTAGCTCCCGCTCCAGACCTCGATCTGGATCCGAGAAAAGTCGCTCCCCCGATTTTGGCGGATTCAACCGGAAGCCAGCCGGGTCAGCCCTCGGCGCACACACGTGACTTCCTTTCTCGCGGGCATCTCGCCTGATCTCGCCTCAGAAGAAATGGTAATGG